GCAACAAAATGTCTTCCTTCCTGGAAAATGCTCTCCACAAGTGAGTTTTTCCATGGAACCAAGCAAACACAGGTCGCTTTCTGCACTCCTGTGCACCCTGGTCCGCCTGCTGTGGCCCAACTTCTCTGCAGGGACGGGGTGGAGACCGAAGCTCCCCTGTCTAGATCTGCTGACAGATCTGTCATGTTTCTCAAAGTGGACAGAAAGGTGATTGTAATACTCAAGCAAAACCCTCACTTCATAATCCTAAAATCCCAGGGTGTAAACTCATCAAATACTGCCCTTTGTTTCTACTGTAAATAACTTCCACACACCATGCGATGATTCGATTTAAAACAGATTTCAAATTTCTAGGAACAATTTCCCCTTTGAACATCATTCACATGAATCCCATGCCCAAAAAACAGACAGAAAAACAGAAATAGAAAGTGAGTGGACAGTTAATCAGACAACTAACCCAGTTATCAAGCTGTCCCATAAAATGAGCTTGAATGAGGTGGCAGTCTCGAACTGATCAAATGTACTCATAAACTTAGACAGAGGGAAGTATGCATCTCGTGTTGGCAGCCTACTAAACGTCAACTGGTCCAAAAAGAAAGCTGCCTGAAAACGCTTCTAAAAATTCTGATTAAAAAACAACACCACCACCCCATTTAACGTACAGGTAATAGAAAAAAACTTGCTTTCAGATAATCAAGATTTGACTGTCACTTGATTCTGCAACCCTGTTTTTTTTATTAGCATATTGCTTAACTGCAAATATGCATTTCAATACTCATGTAAGGCTGACACCTACTTAAGGTATTTCAGAGCGGGACATATCCACATGTCAACCTCTAAATAACCTAGTCTCTTTCACTAGAGCTTGGCAATTTGTCACCTCGGTGTGGTTATCACATAACCACAGACTTATTCAGTTACAAATGGCTGCAAAAAAACTTGGGGCCACACTCACTCTTAAAAATGGAAAGAAAAGGGGAACTACGAGATACCATTTACTTAACTACAATTTCAAATCATTCATAGGAAGCTTCATAACCTTTGAGACAAGTAGTCATTCTAAATATATCATCCTAACTTTTTCAAAGTGATGCTTTTTCAAAGGTTTACTTGTGGTCTCCTTGAAAAGTGTAAAGCAATCAGAATAGAAACCACCATTTCTCTTTATTTGCAAATCTCGTAAAATAGAGCAAAATAAAAGCAGTCAGATGAGTGACTGGAACACAACGCTATTTATCAAGGCGTTTTAATTTCTCTGTGTAAATCTTATCTCCACAGCTGGAATGTCTGCAGGACCCTTGCTCTGTTAAACATAAGCACTTCCCAACTCACAAAGACTTAAACATACCCCTTTCCGACTGAGTCTGTCGTTTGCAATTTGAATCCATGATTTTGCACAAAGAAAGAGCATTTTATTTCATTAGATTCTCAAGCCATCTCATCAAACGTCTATTTAATGCACATTATACCCCAGACCTAGTGATAATTATGAACAGAACAGTGTCAACTGCAACCACCACCTGTATAACACATTCACATTGGGGACTGCACGGGGACGTCCGGCGTGGCGCCCCCCGATGGAGGAATGTGCTCTTGCTATCTGAGAGATGACAGAAGCTACAAAATGCCAAGGGGGCATCCTATTACAGTGGGCAGGCCTCTGTCTGAACTTCTAGGTACCCACCCCCAACCAGCTGCCACCCCCATTTTGAGAACTGTAGAAAACGGAGGCCCAGCAACAAATACTGGTTGAATTGAGTTCTGTTCCTCGCATATTCGTTCACTGAACATTTTAAGTACCTACTCAGCCTGTAGGGCCAGCGGGACAGAAAGGAGTACGATGGGTTCTACTCTCAGCAAGTTTGACTCGGTGGGGAAAGTTAGACAAACAAGGGACGGTGATGCAGGTGGCGCCTGGGACACCGTGCCCAAGTCCAGACGACCTGACAGCGTCTGTGACTGCAGACCCTCCAAAGATGAGGAATGATCCTCTGCGTGGCCTAGCAATACCAGAGACACCGGAAGGACTCAAGCAAAATGTACCACCACCAAAGCCTGAGGGCCTATCCACGGTCAGGGAACACACACACCATTCGTGGCCGTTTTGTTCTTACTGTTGTAGCACTCTTATTTACCTAGTCAAAAACGAAAAAAAACCAAAATTGTGTGTCTGGGGGAAGGTGTGTTGCTTTCTGAAAGCCTCTGAGAAGTCATAAAGTGGTCAAAGCAAAAGTGACGCAGGTGTCTGATGTGGCTGACAGGGGCAGGCACTTAGGGCGTGGCGTTTGCATCTTTAAGACACCTCCTGGGCTGCCCACAGTTCTGCACATTATACAAAGAGTCATCATGTAAAACATGACTTTTGAGCCTCCCAACCCATCAGAGAGGGTTTTCTGATGAGAACAGCAGCTAAGGATAGGAATCCCAGTCTCATGGTGAATGGCCTAACCCCTTTCTACCATATCAAGCTACCCCTCTGATACAACCCAGAATTTCCAAACATTTTTTCTTGTAGTATATGCTGACATCAAACCAGAGGCGGCACAACCACAAAAATAACTATACTAGGTCTGACCGAGTAAGGCATAAATTCTTCACTTTTTGAAGTGTAGAAACTTCCAGACACCACAAAATCGCTCCTACACAATGCTAAGTAATTAAATATACTAGAAGCAAAGAACGCACACACCTCCGGAGCAAATCGGACTAGTTATGTCTGTTACCCACAGAACAGGCCAGAAAATTCACATGTACGTGTTCCTTTCCGTAAGAATCTCAGTGCCTGCAAGCGAAAGAAATACTTGGAAGAAGATACAAGTTCTTTAAAATACAGTCCACTGGGCACCTAGGGCTTTTCCTGTTAGGTTCGTACCTTAAAACTATCTTAACACCAAGTTGGAAATGAAAATTCTTTGCCTAATTTGCCTTGACCACACGGCCTTAGAGGCAAGCTAGCTTGTTCTGTGTAATTATTAAGGCAGGAATAGCAAAAACAGCACATGTCTCGCCTACAGACAGAAACGGCCTTTATTTGAAATGTCTATGAAGCACTGAAAAGCCTGACTCTATACCAAGCCGCCAAAAACAAAAATATAAACAGAGGCCCTCAAATTCCAAGAAAGCAGGAATTATCCAGGCCACATCCTCAAACTGTAAGACAATAAATCAGTGTGAACGCCAAACACAAAGACGACGGCCACGCAAGTTAAGGCCCCAGCTCCATTTGCCACTAAGACTACATCCTCACATGCAGAGGCTGTGAGAGAGGAAAAAAGAGAGAAAAGGATTTGGCATGTTTAAACTCTGTGTACACAAGCAAAGAAACATTTTCCTTAAAAATCTTTTTAAAAATTGAAGAATATTTATTCTTCCAGAAAAAGAGCACTTAAACAGTAAGATGTTATGGCAAAAACAATTTCCCCCTCCGCACTCCAGTTTCATCTTTTAAGACGATGAGGACAATCTTTTAAGTTTCTTTTTTATATTCTGGTATAAAAATCAGTTTCATGAGCAGATCCATGGTTGTCGTATTCAATCAATACTGAGTACAACAGCCCAAAGCAGCTACTCCATAAATATTTACAGAATGAATGAATTAAATATATACCGTTATTTTGCCATGTAGAATGCACACTTTTTTGCCCAAATTTGTGAGGGGAAAAATAAGGATGTGCATTATACATGGGTAATACAAATTCCGTATCTGTGTGTTTTTAATTTTTATTTATGCTTATGAGTTAAAAGTATAACTCTAGAAATCAATAATGATATCCATATGCAAAAAAAAAATACCCTGGAATACAATAATCGGCTTTGTAGAACTTATGACGAATTTGCAACAACGAAGAGTTCTTAGCCTTCTATGATGCGTAGACATCAGAAATTTGTTACCAGCACATAAAATTTCTTGTACCTTGTACCTGTTCTTGTGTTTTGTAATTATTTGTTACATAAAATTTATTGTACCATAGTATGTTAAAAAATAAATGCTAAAATTCCTTTATAATACCAAAAATAAGTACCTAAATGTAAACATAAAATTTTGCATTAAAAAATTAAAATTAAAGATTTTTTTCCCCTGAAAGTTTGGGCCAAAAATGTGGGTGTGCATTATACACAGCAAAATATGGTATGTACTTATATATCCATATATATATGGATTGGCTAAATACTTACTGTATCTACACACAGTGGAATATTATATAGATATTGAAAATGATCCAACACAAATTTACACACAGGAAAATATTTTTCATAACCTAATAATTTATAAAGCAGATTACAAAAGTTTATATAGAAAAAAATACGTTATTTTCTCTCCTCTGTCATTCTCTCACACACATACAATGTTTAAAAAGCAGTTTACAAGCTTGACAAACATGAGCTAGTAAAAAGAACTATTTTATGATTATGGAATGGTTCTTATATGCCTAAGAGATTAAAAAAAGAGAGAAAGGCATTTTTCCTACCATCAATGAATTTGCTTTTGCTTCAAAGTTGCATAGAGTTTTTGTCAGGCTCACTGGCCCCTCTGGGGAGTGACCAAGAAATCTGTACCATCCGGCCACTTTTCCAGGCATCCCTGTCCAGGCTGATGGCAGGTCTAGACCTGACCTCCTGCTACTATCTCAGCAAGCCATCGGCGTGATATTCAAATTCGAATAAAAGCAGCTAAAGCTGGCATGCTGCTCGCGTCAAGGTCTGTGACTTCAGTTAGGTAGTATCATTTCTCACAGTTACATTATCTAATTTTAAATTACATGGAGCCAGCCTGCCATACAGAAAGGAAGTTCCTAGAGAAACTGACACGAGCAAGTTTTCAGAACTTAAAAGGGACTCTACCCACATTTATCTTACTTTCAAAGCACCAAAAATATATCCCACGTTGCATCACAAAGTAATGATTAACCCTCAAATGGCTAGTCTGCAGGGCAATGGACGTAAACGCTTGAGCATTTCGGTTTGGAAACGCGAGTAAATCAAACCTTCTCTTTATTTACCTGTAAGGACAGCGTGTTGGTTCCGCGCGCGTCTCGCCGCAAACTGTTACTTCGCAGAGGAGGCAGGGCCTTTAACTGTGGCCTTGGCAGTGAGAAGGTAAAGGAGGAAATGATTACGATGTCTCTGTCCTCTGGATTCTCCCCAGCTCTCTCCACCACCTTGGGAGAGGAAAGTCACCGTGACCCCACTTCTTCAAAGGCAATGGTGTGGCAGGGTCGCTACTAGGAAAACCCTGCGTCCCTCCCCGTACTCTCTGGTTTGGGGAGGGGTGGCTGGGGTTGGGGTGGGCGCGCAGCCCCGAAGGTGCCAGAGCGCCCCGCGAAACCCAAGCCATTCTACAACAATGGGCTTTTCTTAGAAAGAACCTTGACATTTGGGGCACGCCGTCACTCCTTTAAACTCAAAAAGGCGAGGAAAACACGGGCGTGCAGGTGTCCCCTGTTAGTCTGGGGTGGGCGTGGGGCGGAACCGACCCTCCGGACTCTCCGCCAGCACCACCTTGCACCCCTGGGGCCGCGCGGCCAGGGCCCCGGGGAGACGTGGGCGCGGACACCCCGCACCGGACCCGCGGGGCCCCGGACTCGGGTGGGCGTCGCGCGGCGGAATCTGCCCTGGGCTCGCCGGTCCCGGCCCGTTCGGGTCGCCCGCCTGCGCTCGGGCGCAAAGTGAGGCAGTTGCTCAAAGGTGTCCCATGGCTGTGAACTAACCCGCCAGTGAGCTTCTCCCGTCGGACCGTAGCCGCCGGGCGCGCGGCCCTGAGGGTCGGTCTGTCAGTCTGTTGGGGCCTCGGGCTACCTAGCTTCGGGGAACCCCGGGAATCTCGAGAAACGCTCCCCCGCCGGTGACGCCCAAACTCGACCGCGCTGAGGGGAGGGCGCGCCCCACGTCCCGCCTGGTGGGCCTTCCCTCCCGGGAAACCACCGGAGGACCCGTGTCGCTGAGGTCCCGGCCTCGACCTCGGCGCAGCCCCCAGCTACCGCCGCGGACGCCGGGGCTCGGGGCAGGCCCCCGTGCTGGGAGGGAGGCGGAGCAGGGGGCGGCCCCTGGGCCCGACGTCCCTCCGCTCCAGCCAGCTGCGAGCGCCCTCGGCCCGCGCCCCGGCCCCGCGCATGCGCCG